GAAGAGCGTCGAATTCAATGTCGTGAAGTGAAGATGGAAGGAGAGGGAATAGCAAGAAAAATCGATCTCACCCGCTTCAACTCCTTTCAATCCCTCACTGTCGCGTTGCTCACCATGTTTGGTATGTCTAATTTGTTTAGTTCCATTTTCTTCCCAAACAAATTTGTGTAATTATTTTCTGACAAAATTAAATTTTAACAGGCCATGAAAATTCGACTGCCTACATACTCACTTTTCAAGATAGAGAAGGAGACTGGTTACTTGCTACTGATCTGCCATGGAGGTAATTACATTAACTTTTAATATATTCACACACACATATATATATATATATGTATACATACATATTTCTGCGTAATGAATATTTTCAAACATAATTAATGGGAATTACTTAATTTTGCAGGACTTTTACTCGTTCTGTTCAACGGCTGAAACTGCAGAGAATCAGCAATTGATTTCTTCTCTATGTTATCTTAATTAAATCCAAAGAACTTTTTGACTTTTGCTTTAATTAATTCTAAATGACTGTTGGGTTATATGTACAACCTGATTATATAATCTAATAGAGATTACAACTTGAGTTTAATATAATATATAATAATAGAGACATATCATATTAAAAAGTGTAATTACAATTTTAAAGTTTAAATATTGATTACTTCCTGGATATTTCATTTCTAAATTGGGTTATGATATTTTAATTGAAATCAAATTTCATTTTTTAATCTTACTGGGAATTAACTGTAACATTATATTATTCTGAAAGTCAGAAAATCCAAATAAATGAGTCTATAAGCAATTCAAAAGACGGGTTCATACATGATTTGGGCCAGAGCCCATTGGGCTCTGGGTTCATATATGATTTGGGCCAGAGCCCATTGGGCTCGTACTAGAAGCCTGATTTGATTTGGCCCATCTTCCTCTAATTACGAGAACTTCAAATTTTAATAATAATAATAATAATAATAATCATCATCATCATCATCATATCATTTAACAATATTTAAATTATCATAGCATTTTAAAGAAAAATATTTAATAAATTAAATAATTAAATTTAACTAAATAAATTAATTTATTACTGTTTTATTTTAAAAGTATTTTTCATAAGAACTTTATAAAATATTATTATTATTTTGTTAAAATTCATTTTCGCTTTTAGCAATTTACGATAGAAATATAAATTAACCGGAGGATTTATTTGTAAAATAGATAAATTATTTCAATTAAAACTACAAGGGACAAATTTTAGTTCCTGAAAAAATTAATTATTCATCTGTCAAAAACCCTAACTTCTGTGATCCTCTTGTCTACTTTTTGGCCGCGCCTCGGCTCATCTGGAAAACCCTAAGCGCCCGGTAAGATCAGTTTCTACTCTTAAACCCCTGGAGGTCTGCGCTTCAATATTTTTGAAATCCGAGCTCATAGCTAACTTTCAATCCTTTTCTTTCTTTGCATCTGATTTGGCAGGCATTTGCTCTATTTCTTCGCAGCAGCAATGGTGTCCGCCAAGAAGACGGTACAAACTTCATCTCCTTTTCTCCACGGAGGTTCCTCCGTATCCGTTGCGTCTTATTTTTCATTGTGTTTTTTTAATCACAATTGCAGAAAAAGACACATGAGAGCATAAACAATAGGCTAGCTTTGGTTATGAAGAGTGGCAAGTACACTCTCGGCTACAAGACCGTTCTCAAATCCCTACGCAGCTCTAAGGGTACAGCTCTGTGTGTTCGAATATTTGTGTTTGCTTGATTTTGTTATTCTCCGTGCGACGGAAATTTTTAGAGTAATAAATGGGTTTTGATCGGCGCAGGTAAGCTGATTATCATCTCAAACAATTGTCCGCCTCTGCGCAAGTCCGAGATTGAATACTATGCCATGCTTGCGAAAATTGGAGTTCATCACTTCAATGGAAGTAAGACCTCTCTTGGAACCAAATTCCAAACAGTTTATTCTTTTCCCTAATTTTCTTTGTATATTACACGATAATGTGCTTGTTCTTTATGCATCTAAACTGTATTGTTCTGGATCTATGTTTGTGAATATATGTTTTTGGTTATTCTAACAAAGGCGTGCCTTAGGTTTGAAAGAATCAGAAGAGAACGATCCAGAAGCTTGCTATAATAGCTTAAACATATGGGTTTTTTTTGGCGTAACGAATATCCTAACCATTTTGATTCTCTAACTGTATGAAATATCTACTTGTGGTAGCTTGAGGATTTATTGTTGTTGAAGAATATCTGGCTTAGTCATCGTGATAATAAAATTATTATAACATTTTTTGCAACCACTGCCGAGGTTGTGTAAGCTCAGCTGTTTCTACAACTAAAACTCTGTTTTCCTTTTGTTGATAATATGATGATTTGGTAGTTTTCTGAATTTATGAATATGTATCCAAATATTGTATATGTTGATATATTTATGTCAAGTCTCCAATGCAAATGAAAATGTACTTGAAGGTAAATGTTTGATCCTTTTCAAACTTGTACTGCATTTTAATTTATCATTTTTGAAGTGTTCTTTTTATCTTCAACTACCATGCTATCTTATGTATAAGCACAAACAAGTTTAGAAAATAAAAAGTATATAATCTTTTCATGTATAAAATTGAACCCAAAAACTCTAGAGGTTAATCTAATGTTATTATAGCATAAATATAGACCAGAAAAAAATAAAGACAGATAAAAATTTTGTGTTATGGAAGGAAAGGATGCCTTCTATGCCCACTTTGTTGCTGAACATTTCATGATCGAACACAAAAGAAAATAAAACATCTAGCTTTATAACGAACGGTGTAGATTTAATCCTATCAATAGATCGGAAGGTGAAGTATTTTTCTTCTTTGATGTACACAAAGTATAGATTTAGAGAGCCCCAAGAAGATATTGTTGGAGTAATCATTCATTCATTTGCATTGCTTGTCTTCTGCGTTTCAGCCACTGATACCGAGGCATGAATTAATAACAGAATTAGGTCTGCCGATTGATTCAATTAGGCAATCTTTCTGGTACATACAATCAACTTAAAGATCGATAGCAGAAGAATTAACTATGGTTGCAGATGTATTAGGCTATTGAATTACTGGAACAATATTTGTTGTGAAAGTACTTTGTTCTGGGGTTTTGAACTTTTTTACTTGTAGTTTTTACCCTTTGACTTTTTTGGGGTATTGGAATTACATGTTGAGCTTCTTTTGACTGTAATTATTCTTTTAAAAAAGGCTCTTTGTCACATGAGCCAGCATCTTCTTAGGATTTAGTTGTTTGTGGGTTAGCCTCTGTTTTAGTTGGTTGATATGGTAGGGGATTTTAGGATGTTCAACCACGCAAATGTTCTTTGAGGTTGATATCTCATGTTGTATTAATCTGAAATGGGCCACTTTCTCTTATATAGAAACTTCACTTTTTCTAAGTTGATTGTGGTCTTTTTGGTTTCAGATAATGTTGATCTGGGTACCGCATGCGGGAAGTACTACCGGGTATCTTGTCTGAGTATTGTTGACCCAGGTAATCAGAATTTCTTGGCTCATTTTGCATAGTCTACGGGAATGAATGTGTGATTTTACTCGTGATGTTTGTTTTTGTTAGGTGATTCGGATATCATCAAGACACTTCCTGGTGACCAGTGATTACCCATTCAGTTTTGCTATTGTAACCTTGTGGTTTAGTTGGTTGGTTTATGTACTAGAATTTAGATATTCAGTGGTGTTTGACGTACGAATACCACCATATTTTAGTTGATGTTGGTCCTGATCTCTTGAAATTTTGCAACGTGGTTTGGTAATTTTCAAGCAAGATGAAGATTTTATGGTCTGTCTCCCTGAGCAGAAAGTAAATTAAAAGTTGAAGAACAAGTTTTTAAGCCTATTTATTTAGGGTCTAACTCTTTAAAATTATAACCAGTACACAACAAACTATTAAACTACGTCAATGGTTAATTAAATTATGAACAAGTCGATGTTACCGTTAATATTATATATTAATTACAATTTACTTATTTGTTTAAAATATGTTTAAAAATTAAATGATTTTTTAAACATAATTAATATTTTATTTTATTGCTTTTTGTCCTACATTTCAGGCTAAACGACTAAATTAGTTTTCTCTATTTTTAGAAATTAAAATGGTTGGGAAAAAAAGTAATAATTAAATAAGAAAATAAAACTGTGGCCTCACAATTTCAAGAATAAAGAAATGACGGAATTCCTTCCTTGATACGCGGGTCCCGCGAAATCACGCCCCCCGTCTTTTTCTCTAACCTCCCACCGCGCACAAATGTCTTGCCACGTCAACCGTGACGTCGACCCCGTCAATGTTCTTCTGCTTTTAGTTCCATACTTGTTCTCATTCTCCTCCAATGATGGACAAACACGTCACACCTCTGTGATCGTTGGTGTCTCGTGTTTATTTCCTACAGGTTGGAACTAAAACAAAATTTAGCTTCCTATCGGAGAAGGACGAGCCTGAGCTTCCTCTCCCTGCGTTTCCTCCCTTCCTTCCATCGGCTATTCCTATTGGACCTCCGTCACCGTCTCTTTCTCGTGTTTGTTTCTCAGTTCTTGCAAATACGAAAAGTGAAGGGGTCGAATCGTAATTTTCAACAGCGGGGGAAATGAGTGCTTTCTGCCTGAACTTTCTTCGAAGACTGCAACTTCTGAAACGCCTCCTTTCTGGTACTCCTTTTCTTTCCTTTTTCACTTCTCTTATTTAGATAGTTCTTTTTTTTTTCTTCTTTTTCCAAAATGGAATTGGTTTACGGTTCTTTTTGTGTGCTTCGTTTGGACGATTACGATGTTCGCGAGGGTTTAAAGCTATTATAGGAGTCGTTTCTTCCTTGGATTTAGGGTTTGTTGTTTGCTTAAACGGTTGGTTTTTATATCGTTTGCTGCACATTCAGCATAATGTAGATTTGGGGCCTTGGTCTGAAAAATCTGTTTGTCGTATTGTTATGAAGTCGAGAGGGGCTGTTGGGTGGTTAATTTTTTTCCTTAACTTGGAAAATGAATTTGTTGATTTTTTCCCCGTCAAATTAGATTTTCTCCATTATTTCTTATTGACGGCCTATCTTTGTCTTGCTTGGGCAATGAGCATATTCCAATACTTATCGAGGTTTCAGAATGCGTGTATAGATTACAACTTACAACCTGGATGTTCCTCTCTGTATCCTTTCCGTAACTGATAGTTTTCCTTGTCCGAGCCTTGGTTTGTTTTTGAGAAACTACAATCTAAAAGCACAATGATGATGAACTTTTTGTGGGGAATGTTGTCAAACATAAATCTTCAAGTATTGAGGAGTCTGTTGTTGATGATTTTTACACGGCATAATTTTTTTTTTTTTTTTTGTCCTGGTGGGAGGAGGTGTTTGCAGGGAACCCGGTTCTTCTTGGAAGGTTTTAATTGGCAATTGTGTGTTTTAACCTGCTGGACCGAATTGCCTCTAGGATAATTCTTCAAATAAAATACAAGCCCCTCTTGTAACACAATGCACAGCAGACATTCTAAACCCATGAAGCTCGTGAAGACCTTCCTACAATTAAATTATCTGCTGCAAATTATGTTTTCGTCCAGTAAGAGAACTGTTTCTATGTAACCTGAATTGAGATCTCTACCTCAATGTTGATCTACTAATGGGGCTATTGATTTTACTTTAATGTTGTATTCCTGCTAGCTCTGTAGATGTTTAATCTGTTATAATTGTTATAATTTACTAGTGGTGAGTTTTATGCAGGTAATCTTGATAACTGAAGCAATGCTTTTTGTAGTTTTTAAATTGGGACAAGCATGCGGGTAGCCGTTGGTTTTCATTGCCATCCTTTGGAGCATGGCTGTGCGACCTAGCTTCAGAATGTCACTGCATAAGCTTCTTTACATCGTAATAGTGCTGGTACTTGTATCTAGTGCTGTGATTGGGATCTTCATTCCTTTCCAGAAAATTTCATATTTTTTCCGCCCACTTTGGGACAAGCCCCCTGCCCCCTTCAAACGCCTCCCTCACTATTATGCAGAGAATGTCTCGATGGAGCATCTCTGCAACCTTCATGGTTGGTCTATACGCTCAGAGCCGAGACACATCTTTGACGCCATAATATTTAGCAACGAGTTAGACCTCCTTGAGATCAGGTGGCGTGAGCTTAATCCCTATGTGTCAAGGTTCGTAATCCTCGAGTCTAACATTACTTTCACAGGCAAGCCCAAGCCCTTATACTTTGCTACAAACCAAGCTCGTTTTGCCTTTGCCGAAGGAAAGATTGTCCACGGTGTCTTTCACGGGCAAGCAGGTTTCCGGTGGTCACGCGAAGGTCCATTTCTACTTGAATCAAAACAGCGAGGAGCTATGAATGGGTTGATCCGCAATTCAGGGATAGCATACGGCGACTTACTCATAATGTCCGATGCTGATGAGATTCCAAGTCCGCACACTTTGAAGCTACTGCAGTGGTGTGATGGGGTGCCACCTGTAATGCACCTTGAATTGAGAAATTATATGTACTCATTTGAGTTCCCCGTTGATTACAACAGCTGGCGGGCTGCAGTCCACACTTACCAAGCGAAAACCTGGTATAGCCATTCACGCAAAACCGATCTCATATTTCCCGATGCGGGATGGCATTGTAGCTTTTGCTTCAGAAAACTCAAGGAATTCGTGTTTAAGATGACCGCATATAGCCATGCCGATAGAGTTAGGAGGAAGGATTTTCTAAGTTACTCAAGAATACAGAAAATAATTTGCGGAGGAGATGATCTTTTTGATATGCTGCCGGAAGAGTACACATTTAGGGAGTTGATTAAGAAAATGGGTCCTATTCCGAAATCAGCTTCTGCTGTTCATCTGCCTGCATATCTGATAGAAAACGCAGAGAAGTTCAGGTTTCTTCTACCCGGGGGGTGTTTGAGATCGGTATAATTGAGGTGTTCTTCAATACCCGGAGACTAGTAGAGAAGGTTTTTCAGAATTGAGCAGAGAGTTTCTTTTTTCTTTTTTAGTAGAAACAAAAATTTGGTCTGCTGCTTCTTTATTTTATTTTCAGGGGGAGGAAGCCAGAGTTGTGGTGAGATGATGTAAAGATGTAGCCGACTCTTGTTTACTGAGTTATCAGAATAGAATTCAGAAAGTGTGTATTTATATACATGTGGGTGTATATTTTGTATTTAGATTAAATGATTATTGGATGGGTGTGTTTTAAAAAAAATTATATCTGTAATAAATATTTGGTGAATACATATACACCCACAATTTTGTTGTTCTTCTTAAATTATAATATATTTATTTTAAATTATTTAAATAATTTGGTAATTTATTTATTAAAAAATTTCGACGTCTATTATTTTCAAATTAATATTTAAATACTTTTTTAAAATTAATATTATTTATGAACTCGTTATTTAAAATATTTAATAATTTATTTGTTAATACAATTTAGTTATGTGCTTGTTGAAAATTTATATATTGATAAGTTAGTGAAAAACCCTAGAACCACCTCTAGTTGCTTTAAAAAAATATGTCTTTATATGTATATATATATTATTGTTTAATAATTTTTTTATTTATCGTTATTTATTAATTTTAAAATTATAAAATTAAATCAACAATTATTTTAAATTATTGAAATATATAAATAAATAACTATTATTTATACAATCCTACGTAATAATATAATATTATATTTATTTTTATCGATAAAAATCATGACACAACAAACATTTACTAAATATATTATTTTAAGGAAAGCTTCAATAAAATCATTTTTAAATGTGTTTTGAATTCATATATGTGTATCTATACATCTCCTATTCGGCGAAATTGAATGGTTTTAAAATAATAAATTTTTTTTTTGAAATATAATTTAAATTTAGAGATATACTAAAAATAGATTTATAATTTACTTGAATTATCCAAATAAATTAAAGAAAATGATTTTTCGTAATAATGCTGAAATATCGCGGTATTTTCTTTTTTGACCTTAAACGCCACAGTTTACACTTCTCTCTCAAATGCTCCCAAATAGGCAAATACCGTCAGAAATAAGTCCAAATTCTGCGTATTTGCTTATAAGCACGTCCGCTTATAAGGGATAAGTCGTTCTGCATATCACCTTTCATCTTTATAAGACGAGGAGCTTATCATAGAGTCCGTCTCGTCTCGTCTCGCTCACGGTATTTAATTTGTCTGATAGACTGCATTTTGTTTCACGCACATCCCTTTCTCTCTCTTCTTCAAATCCCTAGCCATTTCTCTGTATAAATACTTACCAGACGAGCTGGAAGCGAGACAAGAAAACTAGGGAGAGGAAGCTCTGTAACGAACTCTCCTTCTCCTCGCTTTCTTTCAAATTCTCCGATCCGTGCAATCATCAATCTCTCTTCACACAGGTACCATACCGACTCTTTTCTCCCTTATCCTTTTATTTTAATTTTTTATTTATGTATTTCTGGTGTTCTCCTCGGGTTTCTATTTTGACTGCTGTTGTGTGCTTTTAGAGCTATAATACTTAAATTGTTTAGCTTTTTCTCCCTCTTTTATGTAATTCAGGGATATTTCTTTGTGTTTGTTGTAGTATTCATATGCGTCAACTTAGATCTCTTTCTTGGTTTTGGTTTAATTTTTTCGCTTGCAGATAAAACAATCATGTCTTCGCTTAGCCGAGAACTCGTGTTCCTAATACTTCAATTTCTGGAAGAAGAGAAATTCAAAGAAACTGTTCACAAGTATGCTTTATTTTCTATGGCTTCCTGAGGCCAATTCTTTTCGTGTATGCTTTCTGCCTAATTTTGGGTTTTACTGGTATCTACGTGGGTATTTGGTGAGCATTTTTCAATGTTTACTGATTTATCTGTGTTCGTTCTGGAGATTGGAGCAAGAGTCTGGGTTTTTCTTCAATATGAGATATTTTGAAGATATGGTGACAAATGGGGAATGGGACGAAGTGGAGAAGTATTTATCTGGTTTTACAAAGGTCGATGACAATAGATACTCCATGAAGATTTTCTTTGAGATACGCAAGCAGAAGTACCTTGAAGCTTTAGACAAGTAGGGGTTTCAAATTCGTAATTTTTGTACAATTCTATTCAATTTGATAAGTTTTGTGTTGATTTTTATTCCTCGTACCCTAGTGACTTTATTTTGCTATGAACAATTTTTTAGACATTCCCATATTTGCTTTAAAAATTGTAGGCGGGACCGTTCTAAAGCTGTGGATGTTTTAGTAAAAGACTTGAAAGTGTTTGCGGCATTTAATGAGGACCTTTTTAAGGAAATTACGCAGCTATTGACGCTGGAAAACTTCAGGTATAAAATATTAATGTCAGAGAATTTTGACTGTTTTTACGACTCTTGTATCACAGAACTATCCTGTTCTACGTGCCATATCATTGTAGTTCATGGAACTCTAAACCCATTTGTCGATTTTGCAGAGACAATGAACAGCTATCTAAATATGGTGATACTAAGTCGGCAAGGGGTATAATGCTTGCTGAATTAAAAAAGTTGATTGAGGCTAACCCACTTTTCCGTGATAAGCTTCAATTTCCAACATTGAAGAATTCAAGATTGAGGACACTGATAAACCAAAGGTGTTAGAGAAGTTCCTGCTTTTGTTATGTGGCTACTTCCAGTCTGTGAAAAATAAAATGTGGGTGATCTAACATGTATCAGCATTGATGTGCAGCTTAAACTGGCAGCATCAGCTTTGCAAGAATCCTAGGCCAAACCCTGACATCAAAACCCTATTTGTTGATCATAGCTGCGGCCAGCCAAATGGTGCAAGGGCCCCGTCTCCTGTCACTAATCCTTTAATGGGTACTGTCCCAAAGGCCGGTGGTTTCCCACCATTGAGTGCTCATGCTGTAAGTGAAAGGTTGAAAAATTTTGGCTAATTACGTCACTGCAAAGAATGAATTCTTATTTCACTCTGAGCACTTTTCATGGCAGCCATTTCAGCCTACACCTGCTGCCCTCCCCACATCTCTTGCTGGATGGATGGCTAATCCATCTACTGTGCCGCATCCATCTGCTTCGGCAGGGCCAATAGGTTTAGCTGCACCGAACAATGCAGGTGGGTTATACAATTATATGTGTATATCTGCGTATGTGTTATATCAAGTAGTACTTTTGGGACTTATCTTTTCCAATAGGAGGGAGTTGGCAATCTTTCCTCTCTTGACAATTTCA